AAATGAATACGAAGCGAATCGGTACGTCGTAAATGGGTGGGGGGAATTAATTCGCAGAATTACACTCACACAAGCACTATATATGTGTGTTTGTGCGCGCGCATGTGTGTGTGTGTGTGTGTGTACTTCTTACTCGTCCTCTGAAAAATAGCACTTCCATTTATTGAGTAATTACATTCTACTTGCGCTAAAAGTCTTCTTCCATTTCCTAGTTTAAGTTCATCTCTTCAAGGTCTGTAAACAAAAATAGTGTTCACCATAATAATTAGTTTTATGTCATCACAAGAATAACGACAATAATCTGGAAAATATACCGCAGAACCTAACATGCATAATAAATGCGTATAAATTCCTCTTTGGAGGGATTTCAACGAAGGCTTATCATCTCTCAGTTACGTCACTGTCTTTGGGCAGAGTGCGCTCATGGGCTTCTCTGTCAAACGACAGATGGGCAACTGAGAAAATTATACTGAAGAGGTGCCCAGCCCTGGGGAACAGCTGCCCGAGGCCGCGCCCTTCCATTGCACCAGAGGGAGGGATCGGTGCTCGCAACTAGGCCAGCGCTACCGACGGTTGCGGGGGCTGAGGGCAATTTTTGACCTTGATCCGAGCGTACGCGCCTGGGTCCCCACCTAAAAAAACCTTGTGTCACATCCTGTCTAAGTGGATGGAAGGAGTTAATACTGCATACATAACATGCAAATATTTGTGGGTACCCGTGTATCTCAGGTGAATTTCTTCAAAGCTTTTCTAAATTAATTATTGCTGCCTAAATATATACCATATATAAATACAGATGCATATATTGTAGAGAAGAATATGCAATGTGATTGGCCCTGATCTGGCATATCTTTTACGGTCGCTCTCTCACAGACGTGCCGTTGCTTCCCTATGTCTTTTCTACAAATACTTTCCAGGTAACTGCTCCGACAAGGTACTTTCGCTAGTTCCGAAAATGCATCAATTTAAGCGTGCTACTAGGTTGGCATCTCAGTCCCACCCTTTCACTGTCGAAACAGTAAAATATAGTCGTCTCTTCTACTCCAATAGCTTCATGTCTCGCACTTCCCGTCTGTGGAACTCTCTCCCTCTTACTTGCTATAATCCCCAAATATTCGAATACAATGTCAATCGGAATCTTCAGATGCCTTGATCTAATTTCCCATCCTTCTCTTTACGCTTTCCTCTGTGACGCCTCTTAACTCTTGCTCCTAATCTCTTTAATTCCTGGCGTGTTAGTCATACTCCCGCCTTGCTTGGGGTGACTTGCTTAAAAATCTTTTTTTTTTATTTCTTTCATTCTTCTCTCTCCAATTCATCCCATAAATTCTAGGGGTGGCTCCAAATTTTTGAACTTTAGTATATATATATATATATATATATATATATATATATATATATATATATATATATAGTTAGTTTATGCAAACTTAGGTAATCCGTATGGGTAGACCTGAGGAGCATGATATCCAGAGAGCTCAATGTAAAATTCAGAGCAGATATGTTTGAATAAAAGACAGACCACGTTAAGATTCCATGTAATAAGCTATTTCACCATAACCCCTTTAACAGGTTTCTGGATCATCAGACTTTACTTCCAAAAGCTGAAATGAAAAATGAAAAGAAATTCACACGTTTTTTACGGACCTCATCAAGTATACGTAAAGTTGCCGAAGTGAGGAAGTGAGGTGGGAGAGAGGATATGAGTGTGTCATATGTATCATTTTATTTTCCTATTTTAACCCCAGTGTGTCGGCTAGATGTTGCTCAAATTGAATGCGTCTCGTCTCTAGATATTTTAGTTTCCTATTTTATATATATATATATATATATATATATATATATATATATATATCATGAAGATAAAAGCAAGAAAGTAAACGTACACAATAACAAAAAATGTATGGTGAATTGTATGTTAATTATATACAATTTATATATTTTTGTGTATTGGTGTGTTCATTTTTTTAAACTTATAATTGTGTTAATGTACATGTTATAAAAGAGAGAAATTTCTACCGTAGGATTACAAGTCATATAACAAATAGCAGTTACACCCATGTTGCCTTCCTGGAGTTTCATGGCGAAGAAAGTGAATATAACGCCTTTTGGTGGGATGTACGTATTTCCGGCAGAAACAGTTTTTGTTGAATGCTGGGAGTAATTTTATTATTTTTATTTAATTCATTTTAAACAAAGTTTAATATTATTGTTTTATGTAATATCATATATAATTTTATTATTATAATTATTTTACATTTCATTTTTATTTATTTATAATAATAATAATGATGGCTAAACCATAGACGGAGTTATGTGTATACTATACAGTAGAGATATTGTTCTATGAGGAAAAAACAGTCAAAGATACTCTTGAAGCGTTGAGAGTGGAATTACGCTTGTACAGATTCCTTGTTTCATAATATGTAACACAAGTCTTTTCTTTTGATCTTACAGTTTTTATTCAGTTTTATTCAGTTTTTCTTTTGATCTTACATTTTTTTCAGTTTTATTCAGTTTTTATTTTTATGATGATTGTGTCTGTGCAGAAACAGTTCGAAATTATTAATCTCACAAAGGATATCTGGTTATTCTTGAGATATTTTCAAAGAAGGTTAGATTTGCTTCTTGCTATATTCTTGTATTTGTATTCGATACTGTGTTGTATAGGAATAGTAGAAAGTAGGAGTTTATTCTGGAGTACCATGTCGAGCTATCAAAATATAGTCCCAATGTTCCGACATGTTTCAGAAGAAGAAAAGAAGTTGAGCATGTCTCCATGGAACACGCTGAAATTATCTTTAAATGTCTTCTACAGTTAAATATATTTAAAATGACAGTATTATCAGCAATAAATTTCCTTATGGCTGTTGGGAGCTGATATGAGTGCTTAAGTGCCTCCCTAAGTGTTTTTAGTTAAACGTTTATTTAAAGAGCTTGTCGTGTGACTAATGTATCTTTTTTAGGTTTAGTAATTATTATAACCTTCAGAGCCATGCATCGGAAAATGGAATTCATAGATTATATTGATGGTCTTCAAGTTTATTTTTATTGGTAATCATGAGGTTTGCAGTTTTTAATTAGCTATATAGTATGTATTAAAGTTTATAGGTTTGCTAGGGCCTACGATTGAAATGATTTTTTTTTATGTAGAGCCACATGACGAATTCGTTTTATTCATATTTTTATGTATTTGGATGCAGTAAAAGATAGTGTAATTATGAGCATGGTTGGACATGCTGAGTCCCATTATATTATGTAAATATTTTCGGATATTATATGTACTAAGGTCATGAAAGAATTATTTAATTTGTTTATTTATCGGCATATCAATTCGTTATGGGGCATTTAATGCCGAAATTTATTTTTCTTGGGAGCATTGAAGTAATAAAAAACATGATATATGTTATTCTGCTTTCACAGTTGAATACATGGTAGATGATACACAGTTTTTGAGCATATAAATGTTTGTGTGGACATTTTGGTTTGGTGCATAATTATCAGGCATTTTTTAACAATATTTATTATGAAAAATGAAACATTACAATTCAACAATAACATTTTTAAATGATTATTCTAGAACGTAAGATTATCGACGCGCTTTTTTATAACCTAAAAATAAAATAATATTTTTATTAAAAAAAAATTAAACAAAAAACATTTTTTATTAACAAATAACTCGTCTACAAAAACGCCTGATAATTATGCACCAACCCAATGATTACTAGAGGCGGATTTTATTTTGTTGTTTTTTTAAAGTTATATTTTGGATACAGTTTGATTTCTTTAATAAATTGCAGGATATTATATTGATAAATGCCACGAAAGAGTTATTTCATATTGGTTGTTCGGTTGGTTGATCTTGTTTAGCTGTGTATCAACCTCTCTGGGTTACTTAAAGGCCAAAATCAAATGTTTTGAACACAATATTATGACCAAATATATCTTAACCTAAGCAAGGAAAAAAGAGTGTGAGAATATGAGAAAAAAAACACTATTAAGACGAGAGAACAATAAAAGGACAGGAATTAAGAAGGTAGACGATGATTGAAATTGTAATTTAAATTTTAGAAGATTAAAATTGACTGGAAATGAAGAAGTTGGAATATAAAAGCAATTCTAATGAATTAATGAATTTAATTTTCAATCCGACATTATTTCTTATTACTCCAAACCGTTATTCCTAGTGGATATTTTTTTGTATTTACTCAACCACACACGAGGTCAGGTTGTGACAAAAGGTCGGTTTAATATGGGGATCCCGAGCGCGTATACCCGGGCTAGGAACAAAAATTCCCCGAGCCTCAGCAACCGTCGGTAGCGCTGGTTTCAGTGCGAGTACTGATCCCTCTCTCCAGTGCAATGAGAGATCGTGGCCTCGGGCAGCTGTTCCTCAGGATTGGGTACTCATAGTATAATTTTCCTCAGTTGTGATTCTGTCCTCTGATGGAACCGCTCCTGAGCGCACCCTGCCCGAAGACAGAGACGCAACTGATAGATGTTAAGTAAATGTGTTACGAATTATACGAGAGTAATTTACATACTATCCGTGTTTGAGTAGACATAAAGTTTTTAAGTAATGCGAATTACGTCTAACGACCTGTGCATTCCAAAAGCTTAATAAAAAAAGAAATATATCTCCGGCAGAGTTTGAATCTGTGCCTTCACCGTTGTAGGAGAAACCAGTGTCTGGTCCTATGTGTTCTCTATAGCCGAACCGTCCAAAGCAACACCGGGTTAGCGTCAAATTTCGAATTAACTATCTAACGAGCAGGCAATGTGATACAGCAAATTAACTAGCTAACGGGTTTAATATAGAGCGAGGGTCACTTATGCTTCGGATTAGAAATACTTACTTGGAATTCAATGAAGGTAGAAGGATTGAAGAAGCTGATACCAACAGGATAAAGTGAATGCAATGGAGACAGTGAAAAGCCGCGAATAACATACCTAATGAGCTGGCAAAAATAGATGTCTTAACAGGAACTTGTAGGGCGGACCAGTAGACAAATGATAGAAATATGATCTCGTGTCATGTGGAGATATGATAAACGGCACACAAATGCATAAGTAGGAAAACCCATAAATGCATTGGCAGCAAAACAACAATTTACAATAAATATATTTGAATCGGAGATCATAACGGGTAATACACCTGTAAGGATACGAAACGTGAATATTTCTCTTCGTTGAAGATAAAGAAAAAGTAGGTCACGTGACGGCTGCTTAGTGACATCACTACACCGAGTGATGTAAATGGCCAGTCCTCCAGTCAGCTTCCAGGAGTCAAAAAAGTTGCTTTTTTTTTCAGTTTCGTGGCGAAATCTGCCTCTCACGGTCACGCAGCTTACAAGGACATAGCACTATTTTACTCTGGAAATATATCTTCACCAGATAGAGAAATTCTACCTGCCGCGCAGTTCTCAATTTGGGAAAAAACTATCACTCAGCATTTCCCGTTTGAGAGGAATATGTCTTCGCTAGTGACATAGCAGATAAATCCGACCCCTTCGAATCTGGAATCATATGTCTTCTCCAGAAACATAAAATTCTCGTTGGGAATTATTACGAGTAAGACTCTCTCTCTCTCTTTCTTTTCGTCTCGTTTTCACTCTGCTTGTTATATACATGTTATAGTTTCATTGCGTGAGACAAATGTAAATATGTGTATATAATTTTGTGTATAATACTCTCACTGACTGAGAGAAAGGCATATGTGTCATTCATTTTCTTTCAGCTATTCCGTTCAGCCCATCAAACAACGTGTTATTATATCATGGATGGAATAATCCTCAGAATGGTGGAAATAAAACGGGTGAATATTCATATTTCCATTGTTCATCCATCACGTCGATAATTTTGAACTATCAATGAAAATAAATCAGAGAAAATAAATATGATTATTTAATAAGGTTCCCTTGTTTTCAATCAAATATGGAGAAAGAGAAATTTGCTGACTAAATACAAACACAATATATTATCATATATACTCGAATATAGTGCGTTTTTAAGATTAGATTTCGACACAAAAAAAGGTCGTCGCACTATATAAAGACAATTATCTGAAAGATTTAAACATCAAGCATTTTCCCTGACCGCCTGCACGATGCATATTTACATTTTTATGGAGCGTTTAAATTTCATGTATTCTCCGTGAACGTAACCTTCCTGGTAACCCACATTCTCATCGTACCATTCGTTAATCTTAACGATACACCTATTGCATTATGTACGGATAATCGTTACAAAAATGTTCCCATTGCAAAGGCAGTATCTCATCGATATAATCATTTGGGAAATGATGAATGTAAATTTGAGATTGTAAAAAAAAAGTTATGTATTGTACAATTAAGAATTTATGAATTCTTAATTTGTATAAGGTATTTGTTGATTTTAATCGACATTCATTATGGATGAAGTTTTACTCTTCATGTAGAAATATGAGATTATTAGGATGGGAGTCCCCCACCCCACCATTATCTTCTATGCTCGCCGAAATTAATAACTAGAGATTTTCATTTGCCTAAATCATTAGAAAATTGTATAAGTGACAAAACGTTGAGAAATAGAGACCTTGATGACACTCTTTCTATTATAAGATCTTCTTGTAAAATCTCAGATTTCTTTTAAGGTCAAATGGAAATTTGGTATTCTCATTGAGCAGTTATCTGTTATGATTGCAGAGGGCGAAATACTAACATTGCATCACTTCAAGTGAAACTGGTTTTTCCAAGAAACAATCAAACTCCATCATTATTTCTAAAAAATAAACTTTCCTACCAAAAAATTAAAACTCCTGGAACTGGGATGCAGACTTCCCGACACACAGGATTTTGGGAGCGAGAGACGTATACGACAAGACATCAAAAATCAGTACTTTAACTATAACTTCTTTGATGGCTACCTCTCAATTACCTATACAGGTAAGGAAAAAAAACAAAGAAAAAAAAATTTTAATCCGTAACTTAATAAAAATATTATTTGTGTATTACTTATGGAAATATATATTTGTATATGATAAAATTATAATATATATATATATATATATATATATATATATATATATATATATATATATAAATATATGGATATAGATCCGACAGTATGAAGAAAAATATATACGGATAAAACAAACAAAAATCTTATATATACAATTATGCTGTTTTAATGTTAATATGTCAACGTCGGACGTTTCGGTCTAATAAAACCATCTTCAGGGCATATTCATAAATTATAACATTATCAATACAACATGACAAATGACGATGTACATAAAAACAAGACTAATTAAACAAATAACTGAATAAATATAGCGCTGATCTTTTAAAACTTTCAATATGTTATTTGTTTATTATAATTCCGACGTTTAACATTAAAGTCTTAATTGTATATATTATTTTGTTTGTTTTAAAATGAATATTTATATATATATATATATATATATATATATATATATATATATTAAAAGAAAAACAGTCCACTTTAAATTTACCATTATAATAATTTATTTCACCAGAGACCTTTTAAAGGACGCCGGATCATCAGATAGCATTTCCAAAAATGAAATGAAACGAAAAATGAAATTAAAATTGATGGGTTGTGAAAGTTTTTGTAATTCAACAGAGAGTGTCAAAGGGTAATCACTCCTCTCCCCTGATACCAAGTATGCTTGAGAGAGATATGAAATTAATCCCTCCCTAAACTCTTCCACGTCTCTTTAACTACTCCTTTTACACTCTTTTTTACCAAAAAAAATCCGCTTAAAGGTTGAACAGAGCTTGGTAATTTAATTCAATTGAATTCAAATAATTATATTGAAGTTTTCGGGTCTTGTTTTGAAACGAAAAAACTCTTATGTAGCGAAGGAATCATATTTTTAAATAAATAATTATATATATATATATATATATATATATATATATATATATATATATATATATATATATTTAATTTTTATTGAAGACAAATAAAAGGTATTGCGATTAAGCTTTTTAAACAATTTTATTATTGGTCTTACAAGCGTTTCCTTTTCTAAACATAAATTATATAAATATATAAAACTTCCCCGAATGTTCTGTATATTAGAGCGTTTTCGTCTATTCTTTGAGCCATTATCACGGATTATTTTATTTTTATTTTCAACTGAATATGTAGATTTCTTATGTAAGTATCAACAAATAGGAATGTGTTTTTTCCAAACACGGTCAGCACAGTGTGGCCGTGTTCATAGTATGAATATAAAAAAAATCATCTTTAATAATGCCGAATAGTGTAACCGTAAGTTCTCGTATATCCAGAACATTCGTAAAATTTGCTCACTTTATGCCTATAAAAGGAAACACTTACACGAATGCAAAAAATATTTCATCTAAGGTTTTTGCTCAGTATCTTATCTGGCATCTTTATTGAAATTTGTATAAAAGAGGTATTGCTGCAAATGCTCATATATATATATATATATATATATATATATATATATATATATATATATATATGTGTGTGTGTGTGTGTGTGTGTGTGTGTGTGTGTGTGTGCGTGTCGGACTTCTAGCATCTCTGATGAGCTGTGATACAGCGAAACAGGCTTGTATGTGGATGGCTATGTTACGCTTTCGAATTTTGGATCGAACACTATAGAGAAAAACATAATTCCAAAACAGTAGCCCTCGCCGCTATTAACGCACTGCTCTTCATTAATGAATTGAGCACTCTGGTTGCTGGTGTTTGTATACATTCGTATATATTACGTTAGAATTTCTCTTTTAGGCTTAAGGGTAGGATCTCCGACTGATGCCAAATCGTTCGGGTTTCGATTTTCAACTTGAAGCAATCGAGTGTCTAGTCACACTGATGAGCTGTGATACAGGCTTGCATATGGATGACTATATATATATATATATATATATATATATATATATATATATATATATATATATATATATATCAGGTTATGCATATAAAATTATGCTCAAATGTATGTACACGCGTTTCGTGGGCCCCGACGCAATACCTGCACAATCTTCGACATAAAGACACATTAATGGGCCCACCGTACGTCATTCGTTGCACCTTTATCAAAATATTTCCATCCTCCAGTTCAAATGAGCGGAAACGTTTTCGGTAAAGTGATTGTGATTAACTGGGCAGTCCGAGACTTTTCCGAAAATAAGCACTGGCATTTTGTCGGGGAGCAATATAGATCACGTGACTAGCCAGCCATTATTTGGCCTGCACCGGACAACCAAACCTGGCACTCCCGGGTGTTGGAGGTGGGAGTGTAGCTGGGAGCGTGTTGCTTTCACCCAGCTCTTTGTTCACGCCCACACTCTACGCCACAGTCGCTCATAACTCTTCTTTCACACCTCGGCCCCAGTCGCCCGATGCCGCCGCTCGTCCATCAGCAAACCAATTCTGGTTGCTAGGTCACTCATCAAATGGCTATCATTCGTCGACTCATCGTATATATCTTTGTCCCGTTTCTTCAACGAACTATTTTTTTTTCCTTTTGCTTTTCTTTCTTTTCTTCGACTCTTTCTTTTTGATTCCTATTCGGTATTTGTTATGCTATGTTTAGTCTGGCACAAGGCCATATATTTACGAGAGTTGAACCTGGACACAAGACACTACTGTTATCTTGCGATAATAATTTATAATCATTATTACAATGCGGGGAGTTCCAATATTCATAGCAGACTTGATTAGTCTGACACAAGCTAAAAACTAGCCTGGTACAAGGTCAGTATTTTAAGGCACTCAGTCAGAACTCAGATCCTATTCTAGTTCCACGTCGCATGTTTGATGGATGTCAGTTATCAGTTATCTCCTGTTAATTTTCCCTCTGAAAGTTCTCCACTGCCTTAACCGGGTATTGAACTCACAGTGGTTGCTGAAGACATTAGGTTTATAATACCCAGAAATTCATACCTCAAGGGCACAAGGCACAGTGGATAAAGGCGTTGGTTAGATCCAGTGACCCAAAGCCGTTGCTCTTGAAAACGGCCTCCAATCTGTGGTTAACTAGACCAAGATATATATGG